GCAGGCGTCGTCGCGTACAGCCCTTGAGAAAAATCACGTTCGGACCTGTCAACCACCCAATCAACACAACTTCATCGCAACTTTCCCGATGAAATATAYGGAGGCAGGTTTATGGAGGCAAACAARGAAACACGCAAAAACAATCAACCAGCGAACGGAATCAAACGTACAGCCTWACCCAGCCCAGCACCTACCCGCCTATGGACGACAGCGTCGATCTCCCCAGAGACGAAGACGGTAATTTCGTGGCGCACGTTCCAGGATTGGAGTATTACCGCGACTTTTTGTCGCTCMAGGAACAAACCGAGTTGCTGGACCTGATCTACGCCAATCCATGGCAGGAAGGCGTGATTGCACGGCGGCAACAATTCTATGGCGAAGTCTACTACCACACGAGCTTCAAGAGCAAGGTCTTGCAGGGCGATCATCGCGACGAGTCAGGCACTACCGAAGGCCGACAGMCGACAAACAATAACGCCGRCAATCGCAGCGGAGAAATGGATATTGCCGAAAATCCTTGCAACAACGACGGAAACAATAATGGCAATGGCATTCCCATCGATGATTCGGGGATGAGRAAGTGGCTCGACAAAACAATGCCGTTCTTCGAGAAAGAGGGTCTGAAGGTGCCGCCTAGTCAGGTTTTGATCAATKAATACAAGAACAACATGGGCATTGCCAGCCACTTYGAAGACTTTGATGCCTTTGGGCCCGTCATCTTGACCRTCAGTCTGATCTCACCTGTCTATATGACACTGAAAAAACCCACGACCGCGCCCACGATTGAACCCGTTGGGACCGAGCACAACGAAGACAAAGACAAAGACAACAAAACCAACATCAATGCCTGCGATTCGTACGACGACGTTGTCAAAATATTGCTGGAACCCGGCTCCTTGCTGATCATGAAAGACGATGCACGATTCAAGTACAGACACGGAATCGGAAAGTACAAATGGGTCAATCTCCCACCAACGCTAGGACACCAAGGGCGGTCCGGAGCACCATCGTCGGAGGCGGTCGGTTCGGTAGGGACATTGCCAACAACAKCATCGGCGCCTGGCACAAGAATCAAGCGAGACGACTCGTATCGYCGCGTAAGCCTCACCATCCGGCACCTGCTRTCGACTAGACGAAAAGTCAAGGACCACGAGGATGAGTCGGACACGATCAAAGACCCAAGCGTGTATTGATCGATTGATGCATGCATGCATGCATGCATGCGATCTGTTTGGAAATGATCACGGAAGGAACTCGATCGATCGAACGGGATTTTTTTCGTTCTCCGCTGCCGATTTCGAGCCGTTCGCTCTCACTACGGAAAAATCAACAGAAACAGTTGCGATTGGTAAGCTTTGCCAGCATGGTGATGATTCTTTAAATGGATTGGACTTAGGTCCTCCGATTGGAGTTCGAACAAGCCGATGCTCCTTTCCTGCCCCTATTCAGAACCGCAAGCGAGGTGCCGRCTTTGGAAACAGAACGGAACCATGTTGTAACGCGATCATCTTGTAACTCAAGCGTTACCCTTACAAGCAGCACGGGTCAGAGCTTTGATGATGTGCAGTCAATCTATGGCCGATGACGTTGTGTAAAGCAGAACAGTGAATAAGCAAAACAACAGAGACAAGCGGATAGCTAGAAGCGTCGCCTTCATAACCAATGCAGTCCATCACCGGACTATTGGTCGCGCCATCTCCGGACAATACAGTGCACCTCTAGTTGAGAGAAGGATCATCACCATGCATTGTTAGGTTGATTCGTTACGAGGATTCCGCCTCCGCAATCCATCTCAACTGGCGTCATTCTACTGTGACTAAGCAAATTSAAACCCTACCAAACAAGGGATGGCAAAGCGAAGTCGCACGGTAGAAAATTGATAAAGCATGCATGAGAAGGAATAATTTTATTTGATTAAGTAACTTCTATACGGTAGAAATTTGAAATTGTTCATTATTTTTTTAATAAAGTACAGTAATTTGCGTTATTTCTTTCAAGATTTTTTGAAAAGTTACGAATTTTGTGGAGTTTGCAGTTTGCACATCATCCGGCCGGGAACGATGCGTACATACGTACAGTACAGTAATTGCGCGATGATAGTTAGCCCTCAACGGATCTATTTCTACGCGCAACTCAGCAAGTAAGAAATACTGCAAGTGCGCGCAAAACTAAATGCAAGTTATCCAACGCTCYATCGGTATTGGCAGACCTACGGGAAAATCCGAATTTTTGTGACAGGGTCTCGAGTGAAAAGGTTATAGCGTTCCTTCTGAATCATAGCCACTCCCATCGTAAACCGGACCCAAATGCACGTGCAAAAGACTTCTGATGTCGTCACACCTGTTACAGGCACAAAAACTTCGACTTGAAAAATATTCTTTCGAATAGCACGTACACTACAACTCTGAAATTTCCTGTCCAATATACACACCCACCCGAGTTCTACGATGAAATTCACGTTGTCCATCCTTTGTCTCGTTGTCGCTTATGTGTTTTCCGCCGAGGCAACGTCTCTTCGTGGAAAATCTATTCCACGAAAGGAAACATTGATGCAGGCCTTTCTATCAGCAGCACAATCTGGTGATCGACGTTTGGATCAATACAACTACAACCAGTACGCCACTGATGACAATCAAAACCAGGGCGATGACCAAGTCGACGATTCCTATGGCGACGACTACGTCTTTTACGACGATTATGCTCTCCAAAATTGCGAAGAAGGCGATGAAGACTGCGAAACGGTAGCAAAATACACTGCGTATGATGATACGTACTTGGCAAACTGCGAAGAAGCAGACGAGGACTGCAATAATGCAGCCGCCTATATGACTGCGAAGAAAGCCAAGGAGGAAGAAGAACTGAACAGCAACGAATGGAGTTTGAGCAACCTGACCGACAAATACAATTCCATGTCGAGAAGTTCGAAGACTTGGACGATTGTTCTGGCTGTGTGGTTTACTGCTTTGTTGGTAACGACATCGTATTTCTGCTGTTGTCGGCAGAGTCTCTCGCAGAGAGAGAAATCTCGTGGCAGGAGGTTACGAGAATCGTTCTTGGGAGGAAACAGAAGGGGAGACTCCGACGGGGCCAAGACGTCGGACGAACGAAAACGTGGGAGATCGAAATTCAAATTCTTTGGACGCAAGGGCAACAAAAGCAAGAGGGGCAATAGCAGGGGCCCCGTCTATTGAGTTATTCAGTCGGATGTAGTTCGTCACTTCCCTAGTTGAAGATAACATTTTTTTCACTGCAAGTACTTGCTTATCAATCAAACTATTTTCTATTTTTGTATTGAAATCTTGTTACGAAAGTATCATAAARTTTAGTAAATGAAAAGCAATTTTTGTAGTTGCAAAAAATACATTCCATACAGTACGAGTATGATGTTTGCTTCACGTTTTGATTGCGGTTGGATGAATCTTCTGTACATCTGCTTTCGAAACGATCCATAGATCGACGAGTTTTATGCCTTCATTTTTTTACTACGATGACGTGATCTCTGGCCTGGTTGCTTCTTTCTTCTTGCATCATAACACTCCACATGTATTTCGACTTCATTTCTAATATCAATCTAATGMACAAATATTATTGTTTCGGAAGTTGTGGAGGTTCTTTCACCAGAACGTACTAGTCAACACGAAAATGAATGTTAAATGCATTTCGTTTTCCATTCTCGGTCAGAAACTTGATAGGTAGCTGTCGGTGCTCCACCAGCTTACGTATTCTCTTCGGTAACAACATCTAATTTCCATCCCCAATTCTTTTGTTTTGTCATTCAAACTAGTCTTCATGACGGAGGCGTTTCGGTGCCCTTGAATTCGTGCAGCAGTCTTGTTCACGAGATTGAAGGAAGAGAGATGTGCTGCTATTAATCGYAGTATGGTATTCTCCACGATTGATAGCTTGAGTTTCCGAAAACTTGAGCTCTTTTACAAGATGTTGAATCTTGGTATAGATCAGATCTTTATCTGTCAATTCCGTCCACCAACTGTCACTGCCATTTTTGGATCGGTACCAAATTAAAACCCTCCCATTTTTGTTTTGAATATCAGCAATTAGTTTTGTGACTAAGCTTTTGGTACATCGATCCATTGTGCAAGGTTCTGTTTGTTCGTACATGCTTTGCATTCTACTACGAAATATAACGTTCCCTGGATGATATATTGTAGAAGTGCCCTTTCGGAATATAACATCATTTAATCCAGGACAATCAATGATTGGGAGATCATAAGGGTAGCGATCGTCTTCTAAGATTTGCCGTAATCTAATCCATTGTTTGCAGAATTGTTGCTTTATGTTGCCTGTCCAAGTAATTGGTATAAGATCCGTGTTTATGCCATGGGACGACAGGGAATATCGGATTTCCATCGATTCCCCTGGAGATGGTYGAGCAAAAAAACGATAATCATACAACATGAGGAAAGAAAGGTAGAAAGTCGATGTCTTGTTGGTAAATAGCGTCAACTTGACAGAAGACAAATAGCACTCAGCAAGACACAACAACACGACGACATCATAGTACAATAGAACTTCCCAGTCAACATACCTATGTGAAATCTAATTCGGGATAAGTTGTCACGACCARCAGCAATCGCGGCCATGGCTCGAACAAATCGAAAAAAAGGCCTATCGGGCGTGCAAATGTGAAAGGCACTAGCTCTCATCGGAACAAATTCGTGGGGTTGTATTCTTGTGCTATTTGGAGTGAGTTTGAATTGATACGCCGCATCATTTAGCCACCACATCACTAACACGACTCCTCTCCGTTGCTGTTCCGCACCATCAGCACCGATAACGCATCCCATATACAGAAGTATTTTCCACTTTTTTCCCATCGTATTTGATTGTTTTAGTTTTGCGTGGAAAGAATTTT